CTAGTAGTTAAATTTACGTTTTTTATTTCTTTTTTTTTTTTGTTATTATTATTCCATATTATTTCTTAATTTCAGCTTTTAGCACCTTTGGGTCATGGCTCCTTAATATTATTTGTGGCCTTCTTCATATCTCTCTTGATAAATGCAGCAGGAACAACGCTTGTATTTTGTTGTTGGTTTTTTTTTCTTTCGTTCTTTCTTCTTGTTACTTTTGTGCCGTGACGGAGGGGCGACTCGTGTGGTGGGTCACGCTGACTTATTTGTCTTTTGTGGTTTCTATCCCTCTGTTCTGCTGCGTTCCACCCCTTGGTTGTGTGAAGGTTCATTGTGTGTGTGTTTGTCAAACAGGATTGCATTGTGGGCTTTGTTGCAAGAGGGAGGTCTTTTCAGCTTCTCCCCGTTTCACATGGATGTGACAGCGGGGTTACCGGCATTGCGGACCTCAACGCCTTGCGTCTCTTCACAGCCTTTTGTTCATTCGTTCATTTGTTCATTCATTTATAAGTTCACAAGTATACATATATATATATATATATGCATACATTCTAGGTGAGTGGCAGATATACTGAAGTAGTTCCTCCGGCAATAGTTATGTACGGTGTAAACTTGCTCTTTCTATTGCTTATGGAGGGGCTCATCCTTGCTGTGTCGTACGTGATGCTCTTCGTTCCACTGCTGTATTTTGACAACCGTCAGCAATGCGCCGTGTACGGCTCCGTCATGACTGTCGTCTTGACGCTGTGGTCATGTACGCTTCATTTCTTCCGCATTATTCGTCCAGTTGAGCACCTCAGTCGCTCCATTCGGCAGGCTGAAAATGTCTTGAAGGGATTCTCGCAGACGCCCGCCTCGCTGCCGCTGGAAGGCACGGCTTCAACTGTTTCTAACCCAAGGGGTGCAACAGGTTTGTGCGACGACCTTATGGAGGAGCGACGTCGGGTGGAGGACACACTGCACAGTCTTCACTTCGGCCCACAGCCCTCAGTTCATTTTCTGCAGGACCACCGTTGTGCCGTGGCGAACCTTTTGACGGCCTTCCTTCAATGGCAGCAGGGTCTGATAGACTTTTTGCAAATGAAACTGAAAGAAGAGGAAAAGGCTCGCTCCTGCAACGATTTCCAGAGAAGTGTGTTGTGCCATGACAGTCCAGCTAACTTCGGTGCCGCCCGTGACAGCGGTGGGGAACGAAGGGGCTCGTTGCAGTTTCTTACTCATCCGCAGCCGACTGAAACCGTATTCAATCTTGGTCCGCAGGAGACAAGTGCGCCACAGGGGCTGGAGGTGTCTTTGAAAAGTGCACCACTGGAACTCCAGTTGCCCATGTCATTGGCTTCCGTGCAGGCGACGCACGCAGGGGTAATAATGCCCTCTGCTGCTCGCAAGCCCAACGCGAGAAGTCCAGTGGTGTCAAATCATGTGGATCCCGCAGCCTGTCTTGACGCGAAACCCAACGAGGAGTCCGTGGGCCGGGTTGGCACGCCACTGCTGCAGGCACAGGAAAGCAAGACCACTCAAACAGAAACTATTGCCTCCAGGAACAATTCCGCGGACACTGGCGTCACAACGCTAGAGCAAGATATTATGGCATGTCAACAATCAACAGATGATACGTCGGTGGTTGATGCTGTGAATAACAATTTGCTGTCCCTCACCTCTCCCGCTGGGGAATTGAGCATTGCAGCGGCTAGAGATAGTGCCCGAGAAACCTTGGAGAATAACGGTCCTTTTTTTCCAAGTCTCCGGCGAGGTGAACGATTTGCCACAGACAACAATAATGTTTTTTTCTACTTGATAGTCAAGCGTCAGCAGGACCCGGAGACAATAATTGGGTTTGAGGCGCGTTTTAGTTTCAATAGCGATAGACGCTCTCGTGAAGAAAACTTCACAAAGCTTCCCAGTGGGCGCGACACTTTGCAGTTTGCTGAAGCAATGCCGTTTGAGGGGTTTGCTCTTAATGCGAAGTCCAGACGTGTTTGTCTGAGCGATGCGCAGAAGATGCTTGCTGGGTTTCTTACGTGTGAAGTGGAGGCAGACGGTGATGTGGGGACAACGAATGGGACGTTGGAAACACGTCTAAAACGTTCTGCGCTAGTAGGTGAGGATACCACTTTTCACGGTAGCAATAGAGAACGTGCCTTTATTCTCTCATGGGCCGCTCTTCCAGAGTTACCTATACGACTGACGACATTACCAGTAAATTTGTCACCCAGCGAGTCTTGTACGCTCCCCATACTGGAATGCCTAATCAGTGATGTACTTTGCATTTTAACGTCAGCTGTTCTGTTTGTGGAGTTGGTTCGCGGTGACACTTGGGTGGAGCGTGCCGTGTCAGTGGAGCTCCATGGCGTCTCTATAGAGGACACCTCGGACGAGGATTACGTTGAGGCGGCGGCCGTGGAGTCCGGCGCGCAGCTGTGCTTTGGAATGTCAGTCACTGAGGTCATCAAGCTATGATGGCCTGTAGGCGAATCCAGGTTTATTGTTGTTGTTGTTGTTGTTGTTGTTGTTTTTGCATTCTTTCTAACACTGTTTTTTTTGCACCAATTATTATTGTTATTTTCTCATGAAAACGCGTTATTATATTTCTGCCACGCATTTCCACAGTAGCTGGAAGCCGTGGTACTTTTGACCCTCATCTCCCGCAAAGAGTACTTTTTTTACTGGGTGTGTTGCGTTTGGACTGAAAACTTGCCGCTGTTGTTGTTGTTGTTTCTTTTTTTGCCGTTTTCATGTGTTTGTATTTATTAGCAGGGATGTTTTTTTTTTTGTTCTTCTTTTTCTTGCTTTCTTTTTTTTTTTGTTGTTGTTCTTGGAGGAGCGTTGGTTTGGTGTGAAGGAACGGCCGTCACTGGTGATGCGTCGCAGGGTTTGTGGTGACGCCGTCTCATTGCAACTGCCCATAATGAAGCGCGTGCTGTGGCTGTTGCTGACATTGTCATTTTTTTTGGGTGCCGCATCGAGTTCCACTGCAGTGAAGGACACGGCACCGTTTCGATGCATGCGTCCGTTTGGGTCGCTCCCGCGCTTTTCCCCAGCTAACATGGACGCTGCAGAAAACTGTAAATTTGGTTTATTGCGCGTCATCAATGCAACGGCCAGGACGCGGTGTGTGCGTGATGATGCGGCTCGCGGGGCATCCACCGCATCGAACAATGATAAAATGCCTCCCACGTGTAGTGTGACGCTAAACGTGACGTTTCAGGCGGAGGGGAATGAGGCCTATCACGCTGTGGGCGTCTCGAGTGTGGCTGGGCACGAGGAGGCATTTGGAGGTGAAGCATACCGTTTTTCTTTGCGGCTTCGAGCCTTTAATGACAGTGTAGTGGAGTATAAAGGGTTTGATCAAAACGGCTACAGCATGTGCTGTAATTTTATTCAGAGCGCAGAGTGTTCGTGGGATGAAGAGAGGAAGAGCAGTGGCACCCCCCACTATTCTGCCTCACCACAGGAAGACAATGGAGGCAACGCGCCAGACGCATCCCGACGACGGGAGGCGATGGTTGTGTCGTGCCCGATCCACAGCCAAGTGGTGCCCGGAGGTGTCTTTCATGGTGTCATTACAAAGCCGCTTCACCGCCTAGTTGTCACGGAGTGGGAGGCCCGACTGGAGTTCTGGCGCGGTCAGCGACAGGAGCGGGTGATGCTGGGTCGCGTGCTTCTGCCTTTTCGACTAACTGAAGACGACATTGCGTCCGCCTACACTAGCGATGCAGCAGCAACAACATTAACGGCAACTGCAGTGGCGGCCATCGACGATTCGACGTCGGGTGGGCGGGCCGGTGCTGCACCTATAGAGACAGGGGACGTTATTGGGAAAAGGAAGGGGTCTGGAGACTTGTAGCTTCCGATTTTGTGGCTGCACTGTCCTTCTAGTTTAACTGCACGATCTATGTTCTGTTGTTTGTGTAATGAGTGATGCTGATTGGATTGATTGACGGTATTATTATTATTATTGGCTTGTGCGTCCACCTACTGCTGCGAGATTTGGTGCAATATATGAAGGGTGTCTTTGAGGGTACGCATTTGCACGACGGATACAACTTCGAAGTGGATACGCTTTGCTTTTTAATGACTCTATCTGTGCGCTTGTGTGTTGGCTTTTCACATGTGCCCGACCGTACCTTGACCGTCTTCTCCCTTTCACTTGGGGGGTTGATGCCAACTCCTGTGGTGATTGTATCACCCCATTGTCTTTTTTTTTTGTGTGTTTCCGCCGTGAAGGTTTTTGTTTCTTTTTTCTTTCTTTCTTTTTCCAGAAAAAAAAAACATTATTCAGAGGGCCGTAGCTCCTCTTTCGTGCCGAAACAACTTGGGACGCTGCGTTGAACACTGCCAGTCTTGTTTTGGGCGTGTTTGTTGGTTGCTTGGGGCGGTGCAGTTCCACGCGGACAACGGCAACATCATATTGGGCAGAAGGGGCAGGAAGAAACCGTTCTTGTTGTTGATTTCGGTGTTTTGACTTTAGCGTCTTCCTAGGAGGGGAGGGGAGGGGAGGGGGGGGTGGGGGGGGCGAAGTCACTAAGGGCAAGAGAGAAAATTCAGAGACGTTGGGTCATTCATAGGCGCTGTGCCAAACAACTCCGTTTCTCTCTCTCTCTCTTTCTTTCTATCTCTCTCTCTCTATATATATATATAGATACGTACGCGTCTTCCCTTCTCCTACCCCGACACGCACGTACACACACGCGGTGTTGTATTGTCTCCTTTTCGTTGGGTTGACTACTGACCTTGTGTGGGGCGCGCTACTTGGGGCATGAGCAAGCGGGAGGCTGCGGTGATGGGTCAAGCTGAGTACGTGGCACCGACGCCAGGCGCCCATGGACCGCATAGTAGACCACCGCCCCACCCGGCACCACTACACACGTGGGCCAACCACTTAGAGGAGAAGGAGAATGCACATGAACCGGCTGCCGCACGTCATGCCACAGAGGGGATGCGGGAGGTGCCTGTGTTGGGTTGCCGCATGAAACGGAAAGATCCCATGCACTTCGGAAACCCGCACAATAACACTGCAAACATGTTAGTGGAACTGGAATGTATTCTTATGTACGTAGAACGCGTGACATCGTCGCTTTCCCACCGCACTCGTGCCCCAATGCCGCCTGAGTCTGTTCGTGTAATAGCGAGCTCGGTTGTGGCTTCACATCGCACTGCAGGTGCCGAGCAGCAAGAGTTGGAACCGCAGCACTCGCTTGCCATGGATCTTCATGACAGTGCAAACAGTATCCTTGCCTCTATCTCCGAGCTTGGCTATGTAACACTTACCCAAAGTGATACACTAGACGACATTGAGAGGAAGATGAGTACAACGGCGAGAGACGTCAACGTTGCACTAGACGCAATGGCGTTGCGTTACTCGACTCATGAGGCGCCAGATGTGCAGGAGTTTTTTATGGGGAATCAGAAAATACTCGAGGAGTGTCGTCAGGTAGTGGAAGGTCTGACACAGAGGGCGCATCAATTACTCGCGCTGCGCCGCGTCGTCGCTGAGCGCGATGCACCACGGGCAACAAATTTGTTTCAGGACCATCAATGGGACGACCACAAAAAGGGTGTGGCGTGCCTGCAAAATCCATTTTTGACATGGATGGAGAAAAAGTGGTTTCCCGCCATGAAGGCATGGAATCACATTATTATTCAGACACGTGAGGCGGCGGAGACTTCCGACGTTGCCTCCGCGATTGCAAGAGGGCGACAGGAGACATTTGCCCAAAGCGATTTGCTTGGCGAGGTTCTGCGTCCTGGCGAGACACTTTCGGATTTAATTCGCAAAGAGCTAGTGGAGCCGCTCGCACATTTGGCGGCGTCTTGTAGAAAAACTCAGCAACATCTGAGGGCGCTCCGTGCGGCCATTGCGAAGCCGCACATAAAGGAGCTTACGGAATGCGTGTGTGCCGTTGAAGAACTTGATGCGGCTGGCCTCTTGAAATTGGCGGCCGGCCGTGCGCTACTGAAGGAGGGCAAGCAGCTTATCATTCGCCTCCAGCAGGTGGAGAACTTGGAGGGGGCGTTGCGGCTGGCAGCTCAGGTTGGCGAGACGGTGGCGCTGTTTCGTACAATACACCATTCGAATGAGGTTATCTTTCAGCTTGGCATTGCAGGGGACGCTGCCGTAAACAAGGAAATTGTGGACCGCTGCAGCGCACTTCTTGAGGAGATGAGCAACGTCGACACTGTTTTACATGCCGAGTTTATCGCGAGACGTGTTGACGCGGTATCAATAACTGTGGCACATGTGCCTTCACAAATATGGTCAACCAAAGTGACGGCGGCGTACCAAGCCGCCTGTCAGAGTTTTGCCGCTCGCACGGCGCAGGATCTTGTGCGCCTGGACCTGAAACGCGTTCTACAGAACGGGGAGGCCTCTCAGCTGAATGGGTCAGGGGGCACTGCAGTGGAAGATACCAGCAACGCATCCTCGAGTAATTGTCCACTGCGACTTGCGCGAACGCAGTGTCGGGTTCCGATGTTGAGGGCGGCTCAGGTGGGTGAGCTACGCGACGTGCTAAAGCGTGCGACTGAGGTGGGGCTGAGTGGGAAGTTAGTGCAGGATGGCGAGGCATACCTTCGCTCAGTTGAGGCACTTAAGCTGAAGGTGCACTTTGACGCACAGCTGCGGGTTTTGCTGATATCAGACCCCGAAAACGCCACCTTTGGGGACATCTACAAAAAGGTCTCACTACTTTGCGGTGGGCCAGGGGGTGAGGGGTCAGGGTCTCCTGAGCGGAAACTGCGGTTACGCTACCAGGACGGCGACGGCGACTGCATTTCACTTGTGACACAGGAGGACTGGAATGCCTTTGTGGCAGAAGAGGCTCCCAATGGCATTTGTGGCGCAAAGCTTGAGTTATACTGCGACTACATGCAAATTCCACACACATGCCATACAGACACAATCTTGAGCCCACACCCTGTTGAGGAAGAGGTAGATATTTTTGCACCACCACTGACGGTTGGGTTACCTGCGCAAACCAGCGCAAAGAAAAAAAATTCCAATTGGCGTTTCTGGGCTCACAGCGTCGGAATGGGGCAGTCATGAATGGGCCAAAAAGTAATAGTGCGAGGTTGGTGCGTTCCTTCAGCACAGGGGGTGAGACTGGAGCGTCCTGAATTTTTGTTGCGATACAAAACGCCGCAGCGGACGGCGCTGGATGGCATGTGCCTGCGTAAAAACCAGCGACCGCCTGGCGCGGGGGCGGAACGGGGCCGTGCCCCAGAAGCTGAGTCAACTGGAGAGAGGTTGCAGCAGTCGCGGCAGCGGCATGGGACAGCGCCGGGGAGTTCGCTTTTCAGCGCCAAACCGGGCATTGGCGGGGGCGGCCGTGTAGAGTCCGTGAAGCTCAAGGCGACACCATCGTCAGCAACGAGGCTGCCGAAGCCACTGATCCCAACACAAGAGGAAAATAAAGCTCGGGTATTGACCAGGGCCGCTGCGACCGCCACTTCCGCGGCTGGATCTGGCGGTGGCGGTGGTGGTGGTGGTGGTGCTGCTTCTGCTTCTACTACCAACTTCGTCAAGGCGACAGCCAACACCAAAACCAATAACTCAACGGCCGCCGCACACACTGCCCCATCGGGTACACCACTCACAGAACTGGAGACTGTCAAGAGGTGGAAGGACGACGAAGCTCACCTTGAGCTAAGAACAGTTGCATCTGTGGCGTCCACTTCACAACGTCCTGTGCCCAGTGTCAAGGAGTGCGAAATTCCTCTCAAACAGTGCGGGACTCCTGTCAAGCAGCTTGTAACAAAACGTCTCAGTACTGGATTTACGGTGACACCGTGTTCGAAAAGTATTGGGGCCTTTTCAAAGTGGGGGCGCACGGAGGGTCCGGTAACGGACCACACACAGAATAAAGGCAGCATCACTGTTGTGGAGGAAAAGCGTGAGTGGAGTACCGACATGTTCATGCAGAGCGACATATGCACTGTGATGAGTGAGCAGACGACGCCACCGTTGAATACTAAAGGGGATGCTGGGATACAGAAACCAACAAGCGTGTCAACTCCAAGTAATTCCTCCCTAGGGGCTCCTTCAGCAGTGCAGTCTCCACTATGTAGTAGTGCGAAGAAGAAGGCGGAGGTGTTGCAGCAGCTGCGGCAGCTACGTGAGGAAAACCGAAGGGCACTGAAAGCGGCCCTGAATCATCGGCGAACATGGAAATGATGTTACGCTGACTAAGCTACCTTTTTATTTGACTGGTTTATTATTTTATCATCGTGTTTTGTATGCGTCTCAGTGTCGTGAAGTGTTTTTTTTCATTTTTGGTTTTCCTTTTGTGTGTGCGTGCGTGTGTGTGTTGTTGTTGTTTCTGTGGTTGCAGTTTTATTAAACGGTTTTTCGCTTTTTCCCGCCGTGTGTGTGGTGTGTGTGTGTTTAAAATATTTTATTAAGTTTCCTTTTTTCTTTTTTTTTTTTTTTTTTTTTTTCGTCTCATACTCTGTAAGAGGATGCCCAAGTTATGTGTGTCTTTGGGTGCGGGTGGGCACAGCTCTCGCCCATAACTATGCTTAAAGAGTAGAACTTTACCAGCTTAACAAAAAGTGCGTGCTGTACGCCCACGGTCACATGTCCGGTTCAAAATTGTTCCAATTTCCCTCTTACTTTTGAACGTCTTTATTCGGATCCATTCTGCTCTCCTCCCTGCGTTATGTGGGTGGTGGCGCATTTCTATAAACTGCGTTGCTTCGCCGGATGTTTGCTGGTTTGCTTGTTAGTCGGTTCCCCCCCCCCCCCCCCCTTTTTTTTTACTTATTATTCTACCTTCCGCTTTCCTTCTGGAGCTTCACTACGGCCGGCAGATCCCCGGCACATACAGATCATTTTCTGGCTGCGGCCCGCGTCATCGCAGGAGGGCGAAAGGAAGTGGAAACCACAGAAGGACGCCAAGAGGGAAGAAGAGGAAGCATACATACATACAGCAAAAAAAAAAACAAGAAGAATAGCACATACACATCCACGCGGCAGCAGGGAGTAGTGAGAGCGTGGCATTGAATTGGTAGGCGGGTAACGCGAGCAGAATGTCTTGTCTCACGGACGATGCCACTGACGCGGTTCGTCACATGAGTGAGATGCAAGTTGCAGATGAGTCGACGCTGCGGCTGATGGAGCATCTTTTTAACTGTCCCTCCGGCAGCGAGATGTTGCATTCGCTGCTCGACGGGAAACAGCAGGTTGTTGCTGTAACGCTGTTCAAAGCAACGCAAGCGGCTCATTCCAAGAAACTTCTTGGCTTCATCTTGCGCTTTTTCGCAGATCTTGTGATGTGTTGCAGCGTCGTGGGAGAGCAGCTTGGTGTGCCCTCAGCCGAGAAGTTGTTTGGGGATGACCCAGCCAAATGCTTTTTGTACTTTGTGACAACCCACCGAGGTGACCTTGGCGTGACGGACCCGGCTTTGTATCTCGCCGCGACGGCGCTACGATACGGTCAGAGGGAGAAGAATGAGGAGGCCCTGCAGCGCTTTTTTGCTCATGTCACCGATGTGCTTTCGGCGGAGACGCTACAGGTGTCGGATGTGGCCTTTGCGGTGCAGAGCTGTGCCATTGTGGCCCGCACCAAGGCACTTCGTCGATGCTTTTTTGAGTACAAGATGGTGCAGTTTCTTCCGCGTCTCCTCTTTGACGTCGTATCAAATGACTCGGCCAGTATCATTCAACTTATTTACGCGACATTACTAATGACCTGGCTGCTCTCGTACGAGTATGAAGGTGTGGCGCAGCTGCAGCAGTACCAGATGATTCCACATATTCATCGTGTCCTGCAGCGTCTGCAGAAGGAAAAATGTCACCGAGTGGCGCTGATGACGCTGTGGAATATGGTGTCAGCAGAGCGGCGGTATATCAACCACATGTCGAACCCCTCTGCAACAGAGTGGGTAAGCAGCGATATTTGTGATTTGCGTCGCGTCAAAGACGGTAAAGGGCCTGCCTTTATTGCCGAAATGGTTGGGGTAGGCATGCTCAAGACACTTGGACAGCTTTCCCGCCGCAAGTTTGGCGATGAGGATATCGGCATTCTCGTCAATGAGCTTAAGCATGTGCTTGAGCACAGCATGGAGAAACTCACAAGCTTTTCGGAGTATCGGGGTGAGGTGCTTAGCGGAGAGCTGGAGTGGACACCGGTGCACACCAGCGTAAAGTTTTGGAAGGAGAATGCCAGGCAGTTTGACAACAATGACTACGAGGTGCTGGTGGCGCTGGGAAGAATTATTATGACCACCCACCACGATCTTACCCTTGCTGTGGCCTGCTACGATCTTGGAGAGGTTGTCCGCCACCACCCGACCGGAAAGGCGCTGCTGCTTCTCCCCTGCATGGAGGGTGTCAAAGGCCGCGTTATGTCGCTCATGTCACACGCGAACCCGGAGGTAGCCAAAAACGCTCTCCTTGCAGTGCAGAAGATCATGGTGCAGCGGTGGGAATACATTCAGGAGCAGCAGCAGCAGCAGCAGCAGCGATAGTAGTAGTAGAAAAGAAGCATAACTGGACTTTCTTCCTCCCTCTCTCGCTCTCTATTTTTCTCTTTATGTTGGTGTTTGTTTTGTGTGCCGCATCGCATGCCTCTTTCACTTGGTTCCCTTTATTTGTTTGTATTGTGTGTGTGTGTGTGTGGTAGGAACGCGGCGAGGGAGGGAGGTAGGGAGGTGGGGAGGTGGGAAAGCAAAGGCGGAGCAGTAAAAGAAGAACAGCACAAGAAGGCTGAAACACGCTGTGCAAAGTCATTTAGGGTCTTCTTCCTTTATGCAAGGTTCAGCGTCACAAACACCGTGAGGGAGTGGAAGGGGGAGGGAGCGTGAACTTTGAGCACCTCTCCGCCATTCGACAGCCGTAGCGTCTTGTACGTTGTGCGCCTTGGCCCGCCCGTGGCCATCTTCTTTAGTTGGTGTTCTTTTTTTTTGTTTTTCACCTTGTCTTTTTGCGTGTGCCCACCCAATGAACCTTGATACATACATGCAACTGTATATACATATATGCATGAGGATAGGGAAACAAATAGAAGAACAGTCAATTTTCAAGGAATCGTCTACGCATGCGCCCTTGCGGGAGGTGAAAGTCTCAATCGGGCCCGCAAGAGCTGCACCGACGGCGTCAACGCGAGCCACCAGAACCATCATGATGCGATCAATCGAGGCATTTGTATGAATGCGACAATGACTTACACCTCCGTGCAACAAGCTACCTACCACAGGCACGGGACTGACGTGTGTGCCCCCCGTACCTCTCCTTCTCTTTGTTTCACTATCCTCTTCCTCTTTATTTCCTCCTCACAGCGAAGGCTGGCGTTTGTTGTCGCCGTCCTCTTGGCTGCTTAGTGCTTCCCCTGTGGAGTGCGTGGGCAGTGTTCCAGGGTGGGGTGGGGTGGGGTGGGGCGCCGCGCCATGCCTGCCAATGATGTGTCAATTTAATTATACACCTGACTGTACGCGTGACGAGAACTAACGCACTGAGCGGCGGGCGCGGGGAATGCGCACTACGTGACCACCGCAGGTAGCACCGTCGTGGAGCACCAACACCCATTGCACCAACGGCGGACTTGCCTTCGGGAGAGTGGACTGGCCACGCACACGCCTCAGCATTACAGGTCCCTTAGCGGCTGTATGTTTTGATGTTGCTTTAGCGGAATCCCTTGCAGTGGTGTTGGTTTCTGCGCGTCGTGTCTGTTGTTTGCAAATAATGGAGGTGGATGCAGAGGGGTTGAGCAGTGTGCGCATATTATTATTATTATTTTGCAATTTGTTTCTGTTTTTATTGTTTCCTCTTTTTTTTTCCTTTCGTTTTTTTTTTGGGGGGGGGGTGTTGCTCTTCGTTGCTGTACGGCGTGGACTAAGAAGGTCTGTGAGTGTGCGTGTGTGTGCCTTTTACACGCCCATGAGTGCTGCTGACAGGGGACCGGTGCCCGCGTCGGAAGCGACGACGGATACTCGAATGGTGATACGCGACATTGAAGTGGAGAACTTTAAGTCCTACGCCGGCAAGCACCGCATTGGACCGTTTCACAAAACCTTCACGGCGGTCATTGGTCCAAATGGTTCAGGCAAGTCGAATGTGATTGATGCCATGCTGTTTGTGTTTGGCAAGAATGCCAAGAAGATCCGCCTAGAGAGGCTCTCGGAGCTTATTCACAGCTCCGCCGCCCACCCAAGTCTGACGTATGCGTCTGTGACGGTGCACTTTGTACGAGTTGTCGAGACGCCAGAGAACCAGGGTGACCCAGAATACCGCCAGGAGGTGGCTGGAAGCCTTCTCTCCATCAAGCGTGAGGTGTACAAGAGCGGCTCCTCACAGTACTTTATTGACCGCGTGAAGACGACGCAGCGGGAGGTAGTGGAGAGTCTTATTGCGGAGGGTGTGGACCTGGAGCACAACCGCTTCCTCATTCTCCAGGGCGAGGTGGAGCAGATTGCCCTTATGAAGCCAAAGGCGGAGCGCGAGGGCGAAGAGGGTTTACTGGAGTACCTTGATGACCTGATCGGCACGAACAGCTTCTCGGCGAGGATATCAGAGGCGTCAAAGGTGGCCGAGGCGGCGCAGCTCTCTCGCCTGGAGGCGCTTGATCGTGAGCGCAAGTTGCGGGCGGAGCGAGAGGCGTTAGACGACGCCAAGGACTCCGCCGTTGCTTTTGTTACTAAAGATAATCACCTGCAGAAGACACTGATTGCCATGTGTCAGCTTCGCATGCAGACACTTGAGGAAAAACTCGCCGAGCCACGGCGACTTCTCACGGAGATCGACGAACGCATCACGTGCATGAAGCAAGGTGTTGAGGCCCGGTCGCAGGAGAAGGTGAAGCTCGATGAGGATTTATTGAAACGAAAAAAGGACCTTGCAGAGGCCACAAAGGAGCGGGATGCGGTGCGCACAAAGAAGGAGGCGGCAGATGCCGAGGTTGAGCGCATCAGGTCTGGTGCCGATGAGCAGACAAAGGCACGGAAGAAGGCCCAAGACCAACTGAGGCGAGTCAAGGAGGAGGCTCAGAAGGCTGAATTGCAGCAGCAAGATGCAGATCGAGAGGTGGTCATTCACCAGCAAAACTTTGAAGAGTCGAAGCAACGCGTGGAGAAGCTACAGAAGGAGTATGAGAGCACAACCGAGGAACTTGCACCTGTCTTCATGCCTCTTCGACAAGAACTTGAAAGACGGAAAGCTGCCTTTGCTCCCTACGAGAGAGCCGTCGTAGAGGCCACAGAACAACTTGATACCGCACGCAGTCGGTTAGGTTCACTCGATAACAGAGGATTAATGCTGCAAGAGCAGCTTACAAAGATTGAGACTGCCACGGAGCGTAATGAACGTCGTGCTGCAGATGTGGAAAAGCTATTGCAGGATGCTAGCAAGGATCGCTACAAGGAGGAGTTGCAGCGCCTCCAGGAAATGCTAGCTGGTGCAGCTGAGCGAAAGCACAGTGTTAATGGTGCCATACAGGAGATTAAGAATACGTACCGTGAAGGGGAGGCGGATGATCGTGCGATGGAGTTCCTTCTTGCACAGCGTTCTCTTAAAGGGTATTATGGCACCCTGCGTCAACTCGGTCGTATCGCCGACGAATACGACATTGCCGCTGGTGTGGCGAGTAACGCGTGGGGGTTTCACGTTGTGGAGGATCGGGAGACGGCCGCAGCGGCGTTGGAGCTTTTGCGCAAAAATAACATTGGTCGCGCCACCATGATGGTGTTGAAAGAAATTGAACGCGAAATTGGGGCCCGCATGAATGCTCCTTTTACTTCCCCAAGCCCGAAGGCCACGCGTCTGTTTGAGCATATTGTGCCAACAAATGAGCGCTTCCGTGTGGCCTTTTACCAGGCTGTGCGAGACACGCTTCTCGTGCGGGATCTTGGCGAGGCACGGGAGGTGGCGTTTGGGGGTCCACAGCGTTTTCGTGTGGTGACAGTGCGTGGTGAGTTGGCGGAGCCAGGTGGCTCCATCACTGGCGGTGGGAGCACGCCGCGTGGGGCGAAGTTGAAGGCGGCCCGTTCACCGCAGGACAAGGAGGCGGCAAAGGTGGCACTGCAACGCCTCCAAAGCGAGTTGGTGGAAGCTGTGGAGGAGGAGCGCGTGGCACAGGAGCAGCTGCACAAGCTTCGGCAAAGCCACTCGCACCTCACCCCAGAGCAAATTTCAAAGCTGCGCATCGAGCTTGGCACGCTGCGAGCGACGCTGGAGTGCGACGCCAAGAAGCGTACCGCCTTGCTTCAAGAGATGCAAGAGAACACCACCGGGAGTCAAAGCCAGCGGGATGCCATTCTTGAGGAGGTGGACGAGGCAGAGAAGAATCTACAGGCTGCACAGAAGGCAAGGCTGAAGCACCACAGCGATCTGGAGCGGATTGAGCAGGAGGTTGACAATGTCGGCGGTGCCGGCTACAAGGCACTCTGTGTGGAACTTAAGACACAACAAGAGCGTATGGAGGCGGAGGAAAACGCCATCCGACAGTGCCGCCGTTTGTCTCAGCGTCTTCGTGCAACTCAGCAGCGTAAACAAAGCGACATTGCTGAATTAGAGGAGGAACTAAAGCGGATTAGCGAGGAGGCGGTTCAAGGAGCCTCAGGGGCGCTTGCTGCCGCCATTGCGGCATCCGAGGAATGGAGCAAGCGGTACAACGGCGCAGAAGCAAAGTTTGCCAAAGCGCAGTCCGACGTGGAGCTGGTGAAAGCGGCGCTACCGGTCGCCCACAAGGCCCTCATTGAAGCGCAGAAGCTGCTTGATGACGAGGAGCGGTTTCGCCAGGTGGAGATGGCAAAGATGGCTGATGCGCTGCAGGAGCTGGCGAAGTTTGAGCAGAAGATTGACGGTTGTGAGGAAAAAATGAGGGAAAACGCAGAGTTGTACGGCATAGAGACACTACAGCTGAACTTATCTGCAGAGGAAGAGCAGCAGGAGCAGGGAAATGGGGGCGCTGGCGGAGGAGGAGGAGCAGCGGAGGAGCATGAAGAAGAAGAAGAAGACGGGCCGGGTCACAGCAACAGAAATAACAGGCGCAATAACGACGAGTTGGTGGAACACGTGGAGGAGCGTCTCCCGTCTAGCAAACAACAGTCAAATACGATGGAGCTACGGAATATGTCCTTCCGTCTTTCACCTGAGGAGCTGGCGCGATGCGACTATGAGCATTCGGTGCGCCTTGCGAAGTCGCTCAGTGAAGAGACGAAGCGCTTGCATGGCGAGATTGACTTCCGCGCCGTTGCGCTTTGGCGTGAACGCGACGCAGAGCACCGCAAGGGGAAAATTTACTATCTTAGCTGCAAGGAGGCATCCGATGCGGCGGAGCGAGAACTTCAAGAGTTGAAGGAGGAACGACGGGGTCGCTTTATGCAGTGTTTTGTGCGAGTTCAGGAAAGACTGCGGAAGGTGTACCAACTATTGACTCACGGCGGAGACGCCGACTTGGAGCTTGTCGATGTGAATGACCCGTTTGAGGGCATCCACTTTGTTGTGCGTCCACCAAAAAAGTCGTGGAAACAGATATCTAACCTTTCTGGGGGGGAAAAGACACTCTCGAGCCTTGCTCTCATCTTCGCTCTCCACGACATCAAACCCACTCCCATCTACGTCATGGATGAGATTGACGCTGCACTAGACTTTCGCAATGTCTCCATTGTTGCGAATTATTTGCTTCGCCAGGCAAATGGCGCGCAGTTCATTATCATTTCTTTGCGCAACAACATGTTTGAAATGGCCCACCAGCTTGTCGGGGTCTGCAAGGTGAAGGACGTGACCCGGACGTTGGTGCTTATGCCGCGGGGATTTCAGCGGACTGTGGAGGCTGAGCTGCTGCGGCAACAGCGAAAGCGGACGGCGAGTGACATGGACGGTGTGCCCAACAGCGGCAGGAGCAGCAGCGGCAACGATGCGGAGGCTGAGGAAGCGAATGTTGAGGTGGAGGGAGTAAGTGATGAAAGGGAGAATGCTACGGGTGCGGCGACTGCCGGAAGGCTAATGGACGGAAAACCCTGTCGATGATGACAGTCGCCCTTACTGCTATTATTTGTTCGTAGAACATGACATTGCATTGTCATGCTTTTTTCTTGTTGTTGTTGTTTCTATGGTTCTCTAGATCGTTTTCTCTATTACGTGATGGCCCTCTAAGTTTGTTCGTTTTTTTTGTTGTTGTTGTTGGGAAGAGGCGGAGGGGCTTTGCGGCGTGTTTGTGTGATAGCCCTTTTCATGTTTGCCTTCCCTGCCAGCTGGGGGATGTCTGTGCCCGTCAGTCGGTGTGGCACACTCACTTCGCCCCTCCGCCTTCTTGCAGTTGTGACTGCATTTCCATTTTCCCTGTCTTCTTTGCGTGTCCGCTGTCTTCGCAGTTTGTTGCTCGTGCCGTTTTTCGTGCGGTGTGTGTGTGTGTGTGTGTGTGTGTTGGTTGATTTGGGTTGCCTCGTCCCCTCCTCTTCTTTTTATCTTTCTCATCCCCCGCAGGAGAGTCTGTGGGTCGTGCGGGGAGAAAGAAGGATGAGGTCGTAGGTGGGGTGGGGGGGGGGGGGCGTCGGATAGAGGTCAGAGAGGGGAGACCATAAGCCTCACGGTGCGCGTTGTCGTTTTAATGCCCATCGGGGGTCGCAGATATAGACTCGATTTGTTTTAACTACTGAACCCACTGAACGCCGGAGGGCAACGCGATGTGGTTGCAGGTATGTACGCGCCTGCATGTGTGTGTGTGTGTGTGTGTCTCATATGCACGTGAGGCATACTTTTTTTTTCTCTGTTTTGTCGACCATACGTGACTTATTTCTGTTTTTGTATCTATCAGGGCTCTCTGCTTTAGCAATTGGTGTCGAGGCAAACAAAGGAAGGAAAGAAAAAAGGAAACACGTGGGAAAAAAAATATGCGACAAAGTTCATTCTTCGGTGTGTTGTGTTGCGGGCTGTTGCTCTTCCTTCTTCTAGCGGCCTCTGTATGTACTGTGGAGGCAAAGGAGTGCACGGTGAAGAAGGGCATGCGCGCGTGGAAGTATGACGGTGGGTCGTTTCTCCGTGACGGGCAAAGCATCACATGGCACGAGATGGACAAGAAAGGTGTGCGTTTGGCGTCCTTCACGGAGGTTACGCGTCAGGAGGGTCAGGTGCTTCTGCACGACGCGAAGCGGAACATGGATCTGCTGCTGCGGTCGGATCTCTGCGCCGTGCGCCACTCAGGGGAGGAGAACTTCCGCCAGCTGTACGCAGGGAAATTCATGAAGACTGTGGACTGCACATGAATGAGACTGTGGTGGACGCGCTGAACTGCTTGCGCCGGGAATCAGCTGGCAGTGGCTGCTGTTGTCGTTCTTTCTGACTATTAACTTTGCCTTTCTCCCAATTATTGCACATCTGCGCATGCGTCCGCATTAATCCCTCTATTTTAAATTTCGTTTGAAATGTCACTTTCTTAAACACAAAAAGAAGAACATGAACGTGTCCATGTGAAACTTGTATTCTCCCCTGTCTTTGTTTTTGGTGGATGGGTTGGCGCATGCGTTCACAAAAGCAAGGGAATAACTATACACGTGAGGAAGCGGTGGAGCGAGGCACCGCGTACCGCGTGTATTCTGCCCGCCGGGGAAAAAAAAATTAAGAGGAGGAACAGGGAGAAGCAGCGTTCTTGGTGTTCAGAACCTGGACCGGAACTTCACATTCAATACAAACTTTTTTTTTGTTTGATTTGTTGTACAAGGCTGGTGGGCGACGCACACGTTGCGTGGTGGTCTGTGGTTGACGTGGATTTATTAGTGACGCTCATGCGGAAATGTGTGATAAAGCGCCATGGACGGCTAAAGTTTCCCTTAGGCACCAGTTTTCTAACGTTGGGGCACGACTTACATGCAATGGTACCCAGCAATGAATTGTACTATGATCCACCAAAGCTGCGTCATCGCCTTGACAAGGATGGTTACTTGTATTTTAAGAACATTATTCCCCGCGTTGTCCTCGATACAGCGATTGATGACTTGGGAAATCAAATGCTACAGTGTGGATGGACGCGTGCAGAGGACCGGGCGGAGCAGATGTCACGTGATGGTGTCACTCTTGGTGTGCCCTTCCCATCCACCGGGAAGCTGCCGCCGCCGCAGATTAAGTACACAGACTCCCTGCGCTCTGCCGTAAGTGGGACAAATGTCATGGCCCTCGTTCGACAGGTCTTTGGTGACGCCGTAAACGTGACAGATGTACAGTCGCTGCACCTTGCCGCCCCGCAGGAGACGTTTGGTCTTCGTATGTCAAGTGTGTACTTGAACAAGGGGACAAAATTGGCCCTTGTGGTGCTTGTCCCCCTGCATGACATTCCTTTTCAGATGGGCACACCTGTGGTGGTGAAGGGCAGCAACTCCACCGAATCGTACATGATGCTTCGAAGTACGTACGGCCAGCACGAGGTGGAGAGCGGTAATATTCGGGGTGATGGCTGCTACACACACGATCCTCAGGAGTTGCTGCCGTTAGGTAAACAAGCAGGCATCGATGAGGTGACGGGTCGCACCATAACGATCGACGTGAATCCTTTTGTGTCGACGACATTTGAAGTGGGTGACGTGCTCCTGCTAACTGTGTACACCATGTACGCTTTCCTCACAAACACCACGAACGCCTGGCGCATCATGGCCGAGGCGGTGTGGACAATGGAGGGGGATGACGTCGGTCCCGATCCTCGCTACGTGGGGGCGGACGCTCCCGGCCTCAGCAGCTGGTACGCTAATCGCGATGATCCGGTGAAATACACACAAACAATGGATGAGGCAAAGCGGGCCTGGGGACTTCTGCCAAGTGTCCCTCCTGAGGTCTAAGACAGCGGGGCCACAATGATATGGGTAAGGCTTGTAAATAACATCAAATCGCAGCGGGTTGAAACCACACATCCCCCTTTGACCTCTGACAATCCAAATAACACGTATACACAAGCGCGTGCACACACACACACACACACACACACAAGCAAAAGCAACAAATAAAGAGGAGAGAGGGATGAGCGTAATTCTCATTTGTGTGGTTGTCGCTCTTTTTCTGTCTTTCTCCCAGTTGTCGTGTGTTTGTTTACTGTGGGAAGAGGAGGCGGAGCCTTGCGGCGGTCCAGTTTTCACCTTTGTCGCATTTATTATTATTATTATTTTTTAGTCTTGTCCACGGCGATGCCTGGTTTCTGCAAAGAAATGATAGAACCAACGCTGTTTTATTTGCACTTCTTGGACGTGTTCCTTCGCACGCCTAGTATTGTCACTTCCTTCTCCCGCTCCTTTGTTTCTTTCTACACTTTGCGGTGTCGGCGGCGATGGCGGTGGTGGTGTTTGAGCTTTTGAATTATTATTATTTATTTTTTTTTTTGGGGGGGGAGGGGGTTATCAATCGTTATTGCTGCGAATGTACCGTCACCGTCGCTTTGTGTGTGGCCTCGCCGGGGTTTATCACCACGTGGCAGGGCGCTGTCTCGTGACCGGCGGAGGCGGCAAACCCGCGGACAAGGCAAACACGTCGGAAGGAAATAAAGGCGGCCGAGACGCAAATCCCCCTGGTGTCTTTGGAAGCAGCAGCAACAACAACAACAGAAATGACGGTGGCGACTTGCCCTCTGGCTTTGACACACAGAAGCTGCGGGTGATGCAGCAAATGCTCAGCGCCCAGCCGATTGAGAAGCAAATGGAAATGATGAAAAAGGCGCTGGAGTTTCAGAAGACGCTTGGCAGGATTCCTGGGGTGGGCAGACTTGCGCAGAAAAACATTGAGGTGATGGAGCACCTACTGAAGAGTGTGGAAAAACAACAGCAGTATCAACCGCAAAGTCCTTCACATGAGGTGTCGAAGTCCGCTGGCGTTGGTGGCAACACGAGTGGACTCTTCGGCGGGAACACAAACGCACTCAGCGGTTTGTTTCACTCGGCGAGTTCTGCCGCTGCTGGTGGTGGTGGCTTCAGTGTCAATGAGGGTGGTGGCCGAAGTTCCCCCAGCCCTACCATTGATGAGCTGAAGAAAGTCAATTTAGGCCCCGAGATCGAGGCGCTCTTTGCGGAGCTGGCGTCGATGCGGGCAAAGAAGAACTCGTATCGGGACAAATTCCACGCAAAGGAGGAGGAGTTTGAAAAGCTCCAGAAGGAGCTCATGCAGGCGCGTGAGACGGATACAAGCCTCCGCACAAAGCTACGAAAAATAGAGCAGGACGTCGTGCTGCTCAACTCAGAGAACATGGAGCTAAAAGAGCATGAAAAGGAGTGGCGGCAAGTGCTGAAAAAGAATGAAATGCTCACGGATACCGTGCAACGCTTGCAGCGGAGTGACGCCGCACAGGATCGGCAACGCGGTGATATGCTACAGACTCAACTGAAGGAGAAGGAGGAAAACTTACGCTCGCTTCAGCGAAAACTCGAGCGCCTTCGCCGTCGTGACCCACTCTTGAAGTTCTCACGACTATGCAGCGATGTGGCGCGAATGTGTGATGGCGAACGTGACACTGCAAAGGAAGTCTTTGACAACGCATTTGCTGCTCTGCAGTCATGCTATGAGCAGGAACAGGACACAGCATGGGATGCAGCAGCCATGCGGAATGGTGCCGGGGCACGTGCATACGCAGCAATGGTACGTCGCTTATTTTTAAGCCGCGTGCCACACGTAAATTACGATGCTCTTGTGACTGTTGAGGGAGATGCCACTGCGCTGAAGATCTTTTTTGAGGAGTGCGGCTTTGAGCTGCAGCCGGTAACGGCTGAGCGGTACGTCGTGGCCGCGCCCGCAGCTGACACTGCCTCACCAACGTTTCTTGGGCCCTACGGTGTGGGTATAGCGCTCTTTCTTGCGGGGAAAATGGATGCGGCGATGCACAAGCTTCCTTTTAGGCTGACAGCCGTGTGCCCGAACATAAGCACAACGCTCGCTAGCAACACACATCGTTCCACAGTGCAATACGACACGGCACGCGCAAGTGGACCTGGTGGTCAAGCGGCAAACGTGACGGAGACCCAAATTATTGCAAAATTGTACATTGATGGTGAGCTGGCGTATGTGGCGGAGGCGCAGAACTCTCGCAGCGCTCTCAGTAACCGTGAGTCGGCGACAGAGAAGTTGTGTAAAGCGCGGCGACAGCAGTACAATGAACAACTGGCGAAGCAGCATCGAGTAGAGGCTGTGGAACGGCAACTTGTGCAAATGGTTGCAGAACATCTACGAAGCAACGGTGACACCAGTGCAGATGTGACAACACCCAGCGGAGTTGTAAATATGGTGCGCACCGCAGTGGAGAAGGGGTACGTAACGCGGGTGGACCTTTGCCTTGTGTACGGCCTGCAGTACTTGAGCCGGGCGGCAACAGGTTTTTCAGCATCCACGTGATGATGGGTATTGTGGTGGTGTGTGTGTGTGTGTGTTTGTTTGTTTGTTTTTTATTGCGTGAGTTATCCCCTGCTCTTGTGGGTGTGGGTGTTTGTCTGTCGGTGAAGTAGAGCGGTTCTCTCAGCTTCAATATCGTACTTTATTTTTTTTTTCTTTATTTTTTTTTTCTCTTGAGTGTTTCTCTTTTATTACACTACCCGCTGCGCCGCGTAAGACATGTACTTCTGTCACGTATGTCAGCGATTTTACAATCAGCAAGAGGTGAATGATGCCGCCACGAGCTGTGCGGTCTGCCACTCGCCCCTCATTGAGGTTGTGCAGAACGAGCGGCAATACCGCGAACTTCAAGCCATTGTGCGCGCGCAACAGGTGCAGTTGCAAGAGCAGCAGGAGCAGGCGTCTGGAAATTTCT